GACTCCTTATTTTAACGTTATTATAAGTGTTGCTCGCGTGTTGTGGACACAGGGCTAGCAAAATCACAGAAAGCAGTCTCCTCGGTGATGCAGAACTGTATTTAGAGAATTTCCGCCCTCTCCTCAGTGATTAAAAAAAAACCTGTACTTAGAGATTTTTTATTTTTCCTTTCTAAAATTCAGTTCTGAATTATAATTTTTTAGTAGAATTGCAGTGTAAATGTAAGTATGAAATAGCACCAGCAAAAAAGGGACTTTACCATAGCTCTCCTTGTCCTAGCACAAGTACCTCTGCTGGTGCATAAACAAAAGCAAACCATGTATTTTTAACACAGATCAGTTTACTACAGAGCTCGAAAAAAAATGCTTGTGGCAGCTTCAGGAAGGGAAAGGAGTAAGTAACTGAGGGTAGAAAAGGGAGGGATGACTCAGCAGCATGCACCACGCTCAAATGACCGAGCAGCTAAAGCTTTGATGTCGGGCTCGTCCCTTTCACATGGCTCACAAGAGCTCTCAGCCAGGGAAATGAATGAATAAAATGTCACTAAGCTCAAATTCTTGCAGAATTTTCATTTTTGGGGCAGACGCAGTCGGTGCTATAGAGCTGAGACGCCAGCAGTGATTCCTCCTGCTCCTTTTCTTTACAACAAGGTGGTGATGCTGCAGGCGGAGGTTGCAGTGAGTTTCTCCCGCAGCTCTGCTGAAAGACTGTTGGGGAGCGTCGATTTTCAGTCCCGGGGATGTGAGGTGCTGCAGAAACGGATCCTGTTTTAGCCAACAGGATGGTAAAACACAGATGATTGATTTCTGTGCTTTCCTGTACATTTCCTTGCCAGCAAGAGATGTCTGCAAGAGATAATTATTCTCAAGTACTTCGCGGTCTTGGGAGGGAGCAGAGGGGAGACTGGTTTTGACCTATTCTGGATACATTTAGGTGTTAGAAATTGTCTTAGGAGAATGTTTCAGTTGAGCGTGGGGTAAGTTGGAGTCTCAGTTTTGGTCCAAGCAGAAGTGAAACCACACGTGCTTAATCCTCGCGTACAGCAGGCTGCTCATACTGAGCTCTCCAGCCAGTGCGAGGAGTTGCTGGCTTGCTTCAGGAGTTTCTGTGAACTTTCACACCTTGTACTGCCACATTAAACATTTACCAGGGGTAATTTGCAGGGGAAAATGTCATTCTGGGTAATGTAATACTACCCTCGCATCCACATCACATGTGTTACGCAAAAAGAGTGTTCTGCAGACACTGCGATCTGCTCCTAACTTCAGGTCTTAATTTCAGAGCAGCTTTGAAAGCCTCTTTCTTAGTCATAAATTGTTTTATGACAATTTTATTGATTCCCACTGAAGTGAACAGGACCAGGGGACACGCACTCACACCTCGTGCTGATTTCTGGAGCGTGTCCCTGCTCCCTGGAGACCAAGAGCTGAGGGCAGGAGCCCGTGATGTCAGGAGCTCCAGTGGCTGGAGTTGCAGGTGTCACTTAGTGGCGAATTAGTCCCTTAATTTATTTTTCTACTATCGTTTTGCCAGTTTCTAACTGAATAATGGAAAATGTGATCGCTGTCAAAATTCAGGAGGGAGCAGGAACAAGGGTAAGACTGAACTAGATGTACTTTCTAACCTCTGTGGGCAGTAAAGTGTGTGCTGTGCATGTGGAAGCCTGCCCAGTGCTAACACTGGGCGCACTTCAAAAATTCCTCAGGAAGGTCCTGATTTGCCAGAGGATTGAGCAGGTAATTAAACTGGTAATTGCTGCTACAGGAACTGAATGTACAAGTCTGAGCTGTTCTGCGTTTGGAATCTGAGCAGCACCGTGTTCGTGGGCTTGGATGCACTGTATTGTCAGAACCCAGCAGTTGAGTATTTTTCTGTATCCTAAATGAAATTCATCACAGTTTTTCCTCCATCACAGCAGAGCAGACACAGGCAACAAGAGACAGACGTTCCCTTTTCTCAGCCTCAACATCTGGTCCTGATCTCACCGCATATACATGTTCTACTTGTGCCTGCACTTCTCCCTTTTGATATACGCATTTTTAAAACACAAACCATACCTGGTGTGTTGTGTTCACTGAGCATGCCTGTTGATGACTCATTTACAATAAAATTAATGCAACTTGTCAACTAAACCAGTGCTGAGAATATGTTTGATTTGGAGGAGTATCTGGCAAAGCGAGGTACTAATCTAGCTCGGAATACACCCGGAGCATGAGCGCGTGGCATACCTGGCACATCGCAGTGCTCTCTGAACTCCTTTGCTGTTTGCAGGACAACTGACACGTGCTCTAGGAATGACGAAGCTGGAACAGTGCGAGGGAGGGCACGGGGAAAGCCCTGCTGCTGCTGCTGCTGCTGCTGCTGCTGCTGCTGCTGCTTCAGCACGTTGCGGCGATTGCACCTGGAGTTGTTCAGGGAAGAGAATTTCAGGGCAGGGCTGTTTAGTGAGTAAGTGAAGCTGCTCAGCCCAAAACGTACAAGCAGTACCAGCCCAAATACAGCACAGTGCTCTAATCAGACGTGGTGACATATGCTTCACAGCTAAAGCTGTGTTCTCCCACTGCAATAGAGCATTCCAGGAAGTGTTTCCATTTATCCCAACTAGAAATACAACAACAGCCGTCTCACGGAGCAGATCAGCTCCTTTCTGCTTGTGTGGCACCAGCCCAGAGCGCTCTCAAAGGCCACGCAGCGACAGCACCAAGTCCTCGCATATGAGGAAAGGACAGAGCTGGTCTCAGAGCTCCCCGTTTGCCTGTTTCGAGTGCCCCTGTCAAGACAAAATGAAACGCTTGAGCTCCTCATGGCACGAGGATTAGTCACTTCCTGCCAAAGAAGCAGTGGAAGAAAAGGATGCTGGAGGTTTTTCCGAAGTTTAAAAGATGCCACAAAGGGTGAGTTCTGGGTTCCTGCCCCACCTCAGGCTGAGCAAGCGTGGGTGCTCTCCTAAGGTGGAACAACTGCATTGCAGCTAGAGGCAGTAAAGGGGAAGGTGGAGGGGGAACCTATGGTAGTCAGTTCTTCTAAATAAAAACCAGAGCGAACAAGTGAAAGTTAACAGAATTGAGACAAAAAGACAACAGCCCAAAGGTGAGGGAGATAAGAAAAAAAGAATAAGGGAAAGATCTAATCAACAAAAGAAAAGTGTCAAGAAGCAAGCTAAAAAACCCTGAAAAATTAAAAAAAAATAAAAAATAAAATGCTGGTGTTTACCACTCCTTGCTCTGGGCATGTGGAAGGATCTGGATATCGTGTCTGAAAATGCAGATGAGGTTCAAGCAGAGTGATAAGCACAGTGCCTACATCCTACAGGCGAATCATATGAAGTGTAAGGGTAGGGAGGTTGAAGCACAACTCCCACAGACTTCACACGTTTCCAAATCCATTAATATTGTTGCAAGGTAACTCCTCCCTCAGTACTTCCAGTCCTTGGCTTGGGAAATGGCCCAAACTTTGGACAATGTCATGATTTTGGAAGGAAGAGGTGCAAAGACGACAGCACAGCAGCAGAAAGATTCAATGGCGGTATCATTGGTGCCCCCTCCAGAGAGCTTTCAACAACGTGACTGCTCACAGAGATGGAGTTTCTTTCTACATTTTACTCATCTTCCCCAGCCTGACCAAACCCATCTGTGTGACAGGATCGCAACAATCCTTACGGTGTAGTACTCCAGAGTGATGAAACGTTGGGATCTGTGCTGTTATACCTGGACAGGAGAGAGGCTGTACATGGAGGAGCTCACACAACATCCAGCACAGCTGTCAGCATCACCACCAAGAACACAAGCCCCTCTTTTGTCACGAAATAAGTCTTTTCACCATGCACCCACTGACTGAAGGCCACGCTTTCTGGTGATTCACAGGTTACCACGACTTAGCCCTGAAGATCCTATAATCCGGAGGATGAGGGCTATAATCGGGCTGCCCTCCACAGTGCAGATACCTCCTTAAAGCTCATCTCAGCTTCAGGAGCAAATCGCTTTTGCATACAAGTAGTTTTTTTGTTTGTTGTTTGTTTGTTTCCTTGTAGTTCCCTGCCCTCTTACCAGGTCAGATGAACGCCAGCACATGAGAACGAGTGGCTGAGATTGGGGACAAGACCATTTTCCTCTAATATCATCTGACCATTAGGTTGGTTTAGTACATAATGTAGTATAATAATAATAGAGCAATAATTTAGTGCAGTTGTACATAGTGTGTGGAATTGCATAGCAGATATATGGATGCACCTCCCCAAAAGAAAATATGCACTTGGAAAATCTGTTTTATACTTAAGAGCATTCATTTTTCAAGAAAATGTGGAATGTGTGTAAAAAAAAGTAACAGCAGAGGGGCAAAGCTGCTTCACAAAACCCTTCTTTAGCTCTGTATTCAGTGAGCGCTGGACCTGCTCTCTGAGGTACGAAACTTGCTGCTGCTTGGAGTTTCACCAGATAAAAAGGTTAATAAATGAAAAAAGGGGAATGCTTCTGGAGTCACTGTGTGTGGGGGAGAGGCTGGACGTGGTGCTTGGGGACATGGCTTAGTGGTGACATTGGTGGTAGGGGGATGGTTGGACCAGGAGATGACCTCGGAGCGCTTTTCCATCCTTAATTACTGTATGACAAGCAGCAAGGAGCTATTGAAATAAAAAGATATGCCTTTAAACACTTTAAAAGGCAGCGGGGGGGGCTCCTGAAGCCACCTCCCCTCAGGCAGCCGCCCAACGCCTCAGCGACCGTTGCGCGCCGCCGGCCGTTCCCGCCCCGCGCACGCGCGCACCCCCCCTCCCCTCCCCTCCCCTCCCCACCCGAGGGGGCGTGGCCTGGCGGCACGATGACGCAGCACCTTCCCCCCCCCCCCCCCCCCATTCCCCTTTACGGGGCGGCGGGGCCGTGACGCGCGGTCACGTGGTGCGGCCGCCGCCGTTGCCGCCGTTGCCGGTGCCGTGCGCGCGCTCGCCTCAGCCCCCCCCTCACCCCCCCCCCCTGCTCCCGCGGCCGTTGCGTTCTCCCCCTCCCCTCAGCGCCCCCCCCCCCCCCATCCCCTCACAGCCTCCCCCTCGCAGCCTCCTGCTTCTTCTTCTTCTTCTTCCTCCCTCCTCCTCCTCCTCCTCCGCCGCAGCCGCCGCCCTTGATGTGGTGCGGGGCCGGCCGGGGGACAAGATGCCGCCGTCCAAGTCCCGCAAGATCGCGATCCTGGGCTACCGGAGCGTGGGTGAGAGCCGGGAGCCGCTGTGAGGGGACACGGGGAGTGTGTGTGTGGGGGGGTGGGGGCACAACGGAGGCCGTGTGGGGATTTGTTGGGGCCACGCCGCCCCCAAGCCCTCTGTGGTGGTGGGGCCGCCCTATAACGGCTCTACCGGCCCTGGGGGGGGGGCTGCAGGCCCTGAGGAGGCCCCACGGAGGGAGGCCGGGGGCTGCTGAGGCCCCGCGGAGGGAGGCCGGAGGCCGGCAGGGCGCCATGGCGGCGCCGCAGAGCGCTGCGGGCCCCCGGGGCCGGCGGAGGAAGCCTGGCGCTGCCTGGCGGAGGATGGCTCTCGGGGTGGGTTTTGAGGTGATTTTGGGGTGGGTTGGGGATAAGGAGCGGGCTGGAGGGCTGGGAGGCTGCGGGGCTACCCAGGGAGAGGGGTGGCCGTGGTCCTGCAGGCTGCCAGCACCGCTCCTCCAGGACCCCAGCCTCCAGCGCTCCCATCTCCTCCCCACAAGTCGCCTTCTAGTCGCTCTATTTCACTCCAATCCCTGCATTTGTTTCTCTTTTTTTATTTTTTTTTATCATTATTGCCTCCCTCCGTAGAGACACATCGCACCGGCGCTGCTGGCGGAGACAGTGCCGCTGGTTGTACTCGTACAGCCCCGTGGTGCCACGGCCCTGCTGAGCCCCTGGCTCCGAGGGGAAGAGCTGCCTGGAAGCGTCCAGCACGAGGCCGCAGCAGCCCAGAGCTTCTCTGGGGCTGCCCGCACCTGTAACGCCCTCCCCTGCGCTCGTGGGCTGCGATGGAAAGCAGGCGTTTTGGCATTTGGGTCCTTTTTCCTCATCGATCAGACCTAAAAGCGCAGATCGATGGCGAGGATAATGCGTGGCTGGAAAATACAAAGATCCTATAAAGAGATACTTTCCTGTAGAAACCCTCTTATGGCAGCAGCTGAATTAGTGTGATTTCTGTGGTCGTGCACAGCAGAAAGAAGCTGGAAAACAGAGCTTTTTTTCCAGATCGAAAAAAGGCTTTGTAAACAGGGGAGTTTTAGGTGTTCTGTGCGTAACTGCAGCCTGCCCTCGAGATGGGGTGAGGGCAAAAAGAGGCTGATTTTGTATCATCCTTGCAAGGACCAGCTCGCAGTAGGTTGATCGGTTTGCGTAGAGTATTTGACGTGACTTGTCACAATCAGTTTCGTTGTCCTCTTTTTTTTTTCTTGGATAAAAACAAGCAATGGGCAGTGTAAGTGGGAAGGAAAAATTCTTGAAATTCTGTTCTTTAGAAGCATGTGTAGGGGCCTGGGTGTGCTGCTGAGCATTGGTCCGTCAGCTGTTGATGGTGAAAAGCAGCAGTCAAAAAAAAAAATCACGATTAAGATAATTGGTTGAGGAAAAGATGGCACAAATAGTATGGGGTTGTTAATCCAGCGCTGTGGCCTAGAACATTTTGAGCAGTAGTGCTTATATGGAAGAAAGCATTCTAGAAAGGTATGGGCAAAAAGTTACCTAATGCCCATAAAGACCTACTGCTGAACTCCTTCAGCTCCAGTTTTCTGAGACTAGGGCAGTTTTAGGCTTTGTGGGACATGGTGAGTTTTATTAGGACAGCTACGAGTCATAGGAACACAGGAGAAGAAGGAAAAAAGTAGTTTTCCTCTCATTACCCTTGACAGCTCTCTGTTGCTTCGTTGCTCCTAGGTAGAAATCTTGCCTGTTAAAACCACAGAGCTGCTCCTCTTAAATACGGGAGCATCGCATTTCTAGGAAAGTGCTTATGTAACATCTCAGGCAGCAGAAACAGGTCATTGGGGTCTTGCTTCCATCTTGTAGGGCTGTTAGAAAAATATGGGACTTAAACCGCGAGATTTAGGTTGGATCCTTTGTTTACCCAAAAAAAGTTTTAAAGTCTAGGAGAATAAGCACGTAGTTTGGCTTCTGAGAAGCTTTAAAGTAAATCTTGCTTTGTGTCACAATGGCGGGAATACCAATCAAATGCTGGGTTAGGAAAAGGATCTAAGCTCTTCCTAGGATGAGATTTTGGGCAATAATTCCTTGGGAGAATGAAGAACGTTACTTTTGAGGAAAATGCAGCATTTGAACAGAGCTAATTTTCATTAGGGTGGGGAATAATTCCAACATCCAAAGAACAGCTGAAGGTTTGCAGGTTTCCTTTATAAAAAGGGAGCTGTCCTTACCCTGAATTTTGACCCTGGAGTGAGAGAGGCCATCTCCAACAAGGTGTAAGATGCTTCCAGTTGTATAGGTTTGGGTAAATGCTTGGGTTGTGTGAGCTTTTGGCGTTCGCATATGCAGCGTGGTGTTTGAGATGAGACTAATCAGCAAATAGCGACCTTTTTTTCCCGTCTCTCTCTCAGCTCTGACCCCAAATAGCCACGTTTTGGTGACACATATCAAGCAGCGAGCTGTTCCTGCAATTGATGACTGCAGCTCTCTCAGGCTGCGAGCGTGCAGGGTGATGGACAGGCACGGCCTCCAAAGGGTTTGTGAAACAGGAGTCTCAATCCCTCACTGGCTTCATGCTGCGCCCTTGTTTTTACTTGTACTGCATTTTACCCTTTTCCCGGTGTTGTCAAATGCAGCTGGGCTTGGGAGTGGTGTTTTGATGGAGTAGCTGTTGGTATAGAAAGTTCAGGAGCCTGCTTGTTTGAATCCACTCCCTCCGTCTTTCAACACCGCCAGCAACCCTTCGTAGGTGAAACTACCGCGCTTTGCTGATGGGAGAGATCAGCGGCAGCCTCGCCAATTCCCGTGCAGCCCTGCTGCTTGGGGAGGGAGATGCAGGCAGGGAATGTGCCAGGAACTTCAGGACTTGTTTTTTGGTGGAGAAGGCCAATTACACGTGGGTATAGCCTGCAGGTTGTGGCATGACACTAGACAGAAAGCTCACAAGAACGTCGTCTTTGGGTTTTGCTCGGGCCGAAAGCGGTCTAAAAAGAAAGTTTAGTTCCATTACGTAAATGTGGTTGTCTTGGTGAGGTTCTGATGACAGAAGTCAGGTGCATTTCATCCTAAAATCCGATCGTTTTGCAATGGGAGGAACTTCTCTTTGGCTTCTGATGTCAGTTAAGTGACCAGAGTGGAGCAGCTACTTCAGGTTTGATTCCAGAGCAAATCTGTCTGACGTGTGAGGAAGCGTGAGATTTCATGAAGTTAGAAGGCCTCTGCTGAAAAGACTCATCCTACATTGCCCTTGTTGTGTTTTTGCCATAATTCATTATTTCCAGTTACAGTTGGGCTATATTAGATATGCATGGAAGTAATTCAACCAAGACTAAGGTTTTGGTGTCTGGATCAATTTGGTGAATTTCTTAACAGTAACATTTACTCTGAAAAGCAGCGTGGAGTTGTCCAAAATGCATTTGGGTTGGTTATTTTATTTTTTTTGTCTGTATGAGAAAAATGTGAATTCAGACTGAATGTTGCTATCAGTGAGGTTTCTTAGATCATTTTGTAAAAACAGTTTATTGCCGGGATTCTCTGAACTGATGGATCTGAGATAAGCAGGAAGGAGCTGCTTGGAGCAGATGCTTCAGTGGTAGGTTGCTATCTCAGCCTCATCTGTCAGCTTTTTTTTGTTTCGCTGATAATTTTGCTGCTGGCATACTGGAAATAATTCCTGACTTTACACATTGGGACCGGTGATCTGAGAACGTTCTCTCCTGGTCGGTAGCTCTGAGAGGGGTCAGTCGAGTTGCTGGTGACTCACCTACTTACCTTTTTTTTTTTTCCTCCAGATAAGTAGCGCTCGGTGACTTTCAGGTTTATACATAACAAACTTTGGTGTGGGTGGGAAGCAGTTTTCAGACAGAAATAGCTGTGATCTGTGAATGTGCCATGCAGACACATAGTGAAAGAACTAGAGTTGAACAAAACTATCGGCCGAGTTCAAATTCATACAGAAGGGCTTCCAGGTGGCTGTGATGAGATAAAAAATGCCTCTTTGCCCTGCCTGAAAGGCAGAAAAAGCAGTGATAGAGACCTGTAAATAGTAAAGATAATCATTTGGGTGAAACAATTCCTGGTTGTGAGAACACGAGTCACTGGAGCATCAGGAGGCTGGCATCGTAAAATGGAGCTGGAGCTCTGCTTCTCCCTTCTGAAAGATGGCATCTGTTAACGTGTGCAGCCCTTCGGGGCTGGACAGAGGGAAGAGGTGATGGCAGGAGGCAATAAATTACCCGTGTGACTGTCGGGAGAGAAGGAGTGAAGAAATGAGTGCTGGTGCATGATGCAGCCTGATTTCCAGATCCGGTCGCTGCTGCGGCGTTGGGAATCCTGAGGCTGAGCAGGAAAATGGAGTTCCCTGGCTGCTGGGGAAGGTGAATGTTTTGCCAAGCCCTGCACAGCACCGGGATGAGCCCCGATGGCAGCTGCCAGGAGGCTGCGAGCGCCAGCTTCGGGTGCGTTTCAGCTGGGCCGCCGGCACGGCGCGGTGCGGGCTGCTGCAGTGCATCTGCTGGCAGGAGCTGGGAGCAGCGCAGGGGAGGCAGCGTGCTCAGCTGTAATATCAAGCCCGCGGGGTTATGTGAGGACAGGACGAGGCTCTTGCGTTAACTCCTCCGTTGCCTGCTCTGGCTTCCTCTCCTTGCAACGCTCGCGGGGTTTGCTTGTTCTGCGGAGTGTTTTGGGGCTTGGGAATACAACTGAGAGCTAATATTGACAGGGGGAACCAAGTGAAATACAGATCCTGTCATTCATAAGGTGCAAAATGTTCAAAGTGTTCCTTTAGAGGCACAGCACGGCTGTGAGCATGGACCTGGGGCACACAGCACCTGTGTGGGCTGCGCTGCTGCGGTGTCACCACGGGGACCACGGGGAGAGCGGCTCCAGCGCGATAAACGAATGCCTGGGTAACTTCCAGGAGCTCTCCTGAAGGTGACGTTCAAGGGCATGAGTTAAAAACTACTCTCGGCTTCAGTTGTATATTCAGGCCAAGACCTAAACAGTTCCTCTGGGATTTTCACGGTGTGCTCAAGCCCTGCAAGTACTGTGGGAGTGCA